AATTCTTAAACTTTGTGCCAAAAGTAAATGTATATTTATTGTTTGGACGGAGGGAGTATTTTAAATTGAAACGAAAGAAATATCAAATACCATGTATAAATTATTTATTTTTTCTATTTTGATCGTCTTATATAATTTTATTTTATTTTTTGGAAATATGACCATATCTTTAATCATATTTTTAAATTAATAATTTATAATTTTTTTTTAATTTTAATTAAATTATTTAGTTATAATTTTAATATATAATTATTTTTATTATATAATAATTATTTTTATTAATATATTTTTTAATTATTTATTAATTATATTTCACCTAAATTCTTATATATAATAATAATGCACATAATTTATCCGAAATAGAGAGTAATAAATTGTTATTTTAATTTATAAATTCCAAAATTTTTAGTAGTTTAGACATAGACTTTTGAAGATTTTTGTACTTTTGAAATTTTAAAAATAGTAAAAAATTAGTATTAATATAATTATAAGTTAAAAAAATTATGTTGATGTTATATTTTTTCAAATGTTGAATAATGCCATTTTATTTTTATTTTTTGTTTATTAGGCTTTGTTGAAACAAATGTTTTTGAGTTTTGATTTTTCTAGAAATAGTTACAACTAATAATTTTTATTTTTATTTTTTAATATTTAATATAATATATTTTCTAAATTATTAACAATAAATAATGCTAAAAATTTATATATATATATATGTAAATATAGCTTTACAATATACTTCTTCCATCTAGCTATAATATAACTGTTTCTTTTTACCGGTAAATTTTAAAAAAATACTAGTGTTTTATACTCTCTTCGTCTCAATACAATAGTTTTGTTTACTATTTTTGTCCGTCTCAAAATAATAGTCTTATTTCTATAAATAACCATATCACTATAAAATTATTCTTATTTTTTCATTATTATTACACAATTGTTACTACTTTTTACACTAATACACTTACAAGGACAAAAAAGTCTTTTACCGTACTTCTTACACACTACCAATATAATATCAATATTTCTTAAATCTCGTGTCAAACACAACCCCAACTCTAGTTTTGGGACCGGGGGAGTATATTATAGAAAAATAGAATTATACATATAAAAACATTATTTTTAAATCCATCTGCTTTTTTTAGTACTCTCTCGATCTCAATAGAATTGTCTTATTTTTTTTATTTTTGTCAATTTCAAAATAATTGTCTTGTTTTCTTATTTAGTAATCGTGGTTTCCACTTTATAACAAAATTATTTATATTTTTCTAAAGTATCCATAATTATTACTCTAACTTACTTTTTAAAATCACTCAAAAAGTAAGAGAAATTTAGTCTTTTATATTATACTTTTTACCCACTCTCAATTAAATATTATTATTTCTTAATTAGCGTGTCACTTCCAATAAGACATCTTTTCTCAGACGGAGGGAATAGTATTTTTTATAATATTGTATAAAATATATGAATAATTTTTTTTAAACAAATGAAAAATACCAATTACTAAAAAATAAAAGAGATTGAAGATAAATATACTAAAATGATAAAATAAATTTATTAAAAATGGAATAATAGAGTATTATTTATTTAAAATCATATTGTATCTCACCTGCTTTTTTTAGCCTTTAATTTTAAAATGTGAAAGCATGCAGCTCAGTCCAGACTTAGGTCGTACGGACCAATGTATAATCGTGACATCTCATTGTCCGAACAGGTGTGTGATTTATTTCAATTATAAGCCATTGACATTATTTTTCGCACACACATATATATAATTAATTATATGTATATATATTAAATAAGTTATACAAAAATAAAATTATATGTAACAAACAAAAATAAGGGACATCGAGAAGTTTTATAAATAGCTAAGACTATGTAAATTAATAGTATTATTTTTTTGAAAAAAGATAAAAATATTATTTTAACAAATATTTATTTCTTTAATTATTTCATAAAAATATCAAATAGAAAATTTAAAATTTTTATAATTTCTATAAATTTATAAAAAACTTTTCTTTCATCCCTTAATAAGGTAACCGCCCAGTTATTTTGCCCCGTCTTATATAAATATGTTAATTTAATAATAGCTACAATTTATTTAATATTAAAAATATTCTTATAACTTATAATATATTATACTCTCTGCGTTTCGGAAGCACGTAGTTTTAGAAATATTAGTATTATATTGGGATATAGTAGGAATAAAGTAGAAATGACTAAAATAACCTTATTAGTACGTGTGATATAAAGATAATGACGTAAGCTGTAAGGGTATTTGTAATGTTAGGTAGATAATACAGTTTTTAGAAAAAGAAATTGATACTTTGTTATGGGACAGACTAAAATGGAAAAATGAATACTTTGTTATGAGACGTAATGAGTATTAGAATAAACGGTCATTTACATCATCTAACAACTAATATTAAAAAAATTACGCGAAAAAAACAAATGACACTCTTATTTCGGAAATCGGGAAATAGTTATTTTGTCAGTGGATGGATAATAAAGTAAACTTAATTTTATGGGCGCGGATTAGGTATTAATTCAATCAAATTAACAAATCACATAAAGGTATACTAAATACTCTCTCTCTCTCATTCAAATCTAGTGCACTTTTCTTTTTTGGTTGTCATCGAAAAATATTATTTCTTTTTTTAAATAAAAAATTATTCTACTTTTGTACTTATTTTACTATAAAAAGGAAAAATTAACAATTATCACTCACTTTTATTAAAACTCGTATCTTGTCAAATGAGCACACATTTGCATGACGGAAGGAGTATATTTTTTTCATAACACAATATATATAATATTATATTCCGAATTATAACATAATATATAATGTATCATAAATATACTATGATAGTATATATTATATGTTGATTACCTTTATATGATATGGTGATAGATCAATTTAATATCATACTAATTTAATTGGATAAAAGTATATATAAATATATTTATATTATATATAGCAAAAAAGAGGGTTTGTTATTTCCAGACATGTGACAGGTTAGAACCCAAATTGAGACATGGCACGTACAACTACATCAAGAACTGACTTATTATTATTATTATTATTATTATTATTATGAATTAATTAATATTAATTGTAAAATAAAATAATAATATATTAGTAATTTTAGATGAAATTTAAAGATATTTTATTGTTACATGATGACTACATTAATTAATTAATTAATTAATTTTGAAAATAAATATTGATCGATTCAGTCAACGTTTTTAGATAGAATTGATTTTTTCATGTGTGGTATGAAGAACTATGCTAGTAATGTAAAAAATAATATTTTGTGTTGAATTCATTTTTTGTGTGCAGTAAGGAAAACTGTGTTAGTAATATAAAAAATAATATTTTGTATTAAATAATTGACTTTTTATACGTGAACGATATATATTGAATATTTGTATTTTTAATAATATTTATAAAAAATTATTCCATTAAAAAATATTGAGTGAGCATAATAATTGTATTTAATTGTGTGAAATAGAGATTAGACATTTGTGTAAATCAAGTTTAGGATAGTGACAATGAAATAAAGTGATGAGGTCCTCCTCCACATGTGCTGATTTAACCTACTCCACTTCACTTCACTTAATTCAATTCATACCCAAACCTGCAATAAATTATTATAAATATATAAAAATAAATAATATTAAAATAATAATAATAATAATAATAATAATAGTAATAATAATAATACTCCCTCCGTCCAAGATACTATGTCCACCTTGCAGTTTCTGTCCGTCCCATGTATCATATCACTTTCCTTTTTTGGAAAATGATTACACTTTAATCTCATTTTAAATTATTTTATTTTATTTTTTTTAATTTTAATTAAATTAATTAGTTATCTTAATTTTAATTTATAATTATTTATACTATAAGATAATTACTTTCACTAATATATTTTTAATTATCTACTAATTACACCCTAAAATACAGTAGCAAACACCGTATATGTGAAGGAGGGAGTAATAATCAATTATGAAAGCCCTGATAGATAGCAACCCAGTATAATAAATGTGGATAAAATAAATGTCTGAAAACGAGGATTCAATTTGGGCCTGGGCTGTTATTACAATGTTTTACATATTGGGCCCCATGTTGGGCCTAATTTATGATTTAGACATTTTTTATTAATTAGGGGCAGATTTCATAAATAAATTAAAAAAACCTTCTCATAATAATAAAATTAGTATTATCATTTACTTTTTACTTCATTGTATTTGATATTAAAAATATTCTTATATTTATATAAATGCACATATATCATTATAATAGTATTATAAGAAATTAATAGAAGTATTTTTGTTATTTTTTCTAATTAGTACATTTTTATATAATAATTAATATTCAAATATTAACACGTAAGAAAGTAAATAAGACCCGACGAAGATAGTATAATAATTGTGCAAGCCTAAGGCCTTTGATTTTAGTATAAATATCAACAATACTAACGTAATAAATATTTTTACAATTTATAAAATGTTAAGCAAATATCATTATTTTTATATTACACAATAGCATGTTTTTATATTTGTTTTTACGGAGAATAGTATGTTTACTGTATTATAATGTTATCTTAAAATTTAAAAAATAAAATAAAATACTACATCCAAAATATCACATCAAATAATTATTTTAATTTATTATTAGCATTGTTAATTAATGCTCCGTTTACATAAGGTGTGTTTACTTGTAATATGAACACTTGGTTTTTATATTTTAACATTTCTTAAAAATAAATATTAAATTAAACACATAATTTTTATTTACTATATTACATTATAATTTAATTTTATATTTAAAATATCACATCAAATAATTATTTTAATTCAAAAAATTTGCTATTGAAAACTAAAACTCAAAATAAACACAATATTTTGAGAATTTGTTTGCACTATTTCTACGATAATCTTTTAAAAAATAATACAACAATTCCAACATAAGCTGGCAATAATTTCCTCCAAGAAAAAACTCAGGAAATAAAAACGAGCATTTTATTTATTAGTAAAATTTCTATAATGCAATAAACTACTAAAACCTAAGAACACATCAATCCCATAATACTGTCTAAACCTAAACTAGAAAAAACTCATAAGCATGTCCAAAAGAATTATTTCATCTTCTTCATCAAGTATGAATCAATTTATATAAAGCAGAGTTTATAGTTAGTTACCTCGTGGAGAAAGATTCAAGCTTTAGGCTTAAGGATCTTCGGAGTTTCCCAGGTGAAGTCGGGATCGTCGCGCCCAAAGTGTCCGTAAGCCGCCGTCTTTTGGTACCTGAAATTGCCTCCTCTCTTCAAGTCCAGGTTGATCGCAATCATCCCCGGCCGGAAGTCGAAGCTCTCCTTGATCAGGGCCAGGATGTCCTTGTCCGGGATCTTACCCGTCTTGTAAGAATCCACGAATACAGACAGCGGTTCAGCCACGCCAATCGCGTAAGAAACTTGCACGATGCATCGTCGCGCGAGTCCTGACGCGACAACACTCTTGGCAGCTTGTCTGACAATGTAGGCGCCGCTTCTGTCGACTTTAGTCGGATCTTTTCCGGAGAAGGCGCCCCCGCCGTGTGCGCCCCAGCCGCCGTAGGTGTCGATGATGATTTTCCGGCCGGTCAGGCCTGCATCGCCGTGGGGACCGCCGATGACGAATCGACCGGATGGGTTGAGGTGGAAGATGGTTTTGTCGTCGAGGTATTGGGCAGGGATCACGGGCTTGATCACGTGCTCCTTCAAGTCACTGGCGATTTTTTCGTTGGTGACGGTTTCATCATGCTGAGTCGAGATGAGGACGGTGTGGACTCGAACGGGAACCATTGCGCCGTTCTCATTTTTGTACTCGACGGTGACCTGTGTTTTCCCGTCGGGTCTTAACCATGGGCAGGTCTTGTTCTTCCTGACTTCGGTGAGTTTGGCGCCGAGCTTTGTGGCGAGGACGTGGGTTAGAGGCATAAGCTCCTGTGTTTCGTCGGTGGCATAGCCGAACATGTGGCCTTGGTCGCCGGCTCCGATTTCTTCGGGTTTCTTGGTGAGATGGCCGTGGACTCCCTGGGCGATGTCGGGGCTCTGTTGCTCAATGTTGACGAGGACTTTGCAGTTGTCGGCGTCTAGGCCGACGTCGGGAGAAGTGAATCCGATTCCTCTGCAGGTATCCCTTACTATCTTCTCGTAGTTCACATTTGCCTTGGTTGTGATCTCGCCGAAGACCATTACCATGTTTGTTTTAGTGCAGGTTTCGCAGGCGACTTTGCTCTCTGGATCTTGCTCTAAGCAAGCGTCGAGAATGGCGTCTGAGACTTGGTCGCAGAGCTTGTCAGGGTGTCCTTCATTGACGGATTCTGAAGTGAACAGGAAGGAATCCATGGTTTCTGAAAAACAAATTTGGATGTCAATTGTCAGTCATTTGAATCGGAGACAGTTTTGTTAAAAGTAGCAAGTTCACATTCGAATTGAGCATGATTAAACTTGAACACAAATCACGCATGGTTATGAACTGGAACTGGACTATCAATAATTGATTGATCACTGGTAAGGAAAAGCATTCACCATCGCTTAATCGATGAATCTAACAAATGCACCGTGGAGATTATGTTCTATAAAAATCGGAAACATATTCGAATGGATAAAACAGAACACATTTATGTGAAGTTATTGTGCATAGGCATTTTGAGGCAGATTAAATACAAATCGAGGAGCTAAATCAAACGGTGCAGCTTCGGTGCGATCGTAACCATTGATAATGCTTAGGGATAAATCACCGCACAACAAAATGTAAAGGAAAATGCGAAAACCTAAAGATATTCCTCGCGACACAAAATCCATCGAAATATCTAAATTTAATCAAACAATCACCGCAATCTGTGAGGCTATCATACAAATTTACATAAAAACATCAAATCAACCAACAACAATCATCGAAATCGTCCAATTCGAATACTAAACGAAGCAAAATGAAATCATTGTAGGCATAAACGATAACAGAAGCGCAATAAATAAAAAAAATTAATAATAAAAAAACAAAATTAAAGTAGAGATCGATTCGATTCAGGTGGCTGACCTTTCTCCAAGAACGTTAGATCTGCAGCTTACAATCGTCTTCCTCGAGAGAGCAAAGCGCAATCGCAGACTGGTTCTGTGGCATCGGCGACATTTTATAGGCTGTCAAACTGACAGGCGCTTCAAGTGTAAAACTACCCTACCTACACCACCCAATTATATGGTGCCACCTGGCGACTGACAGTTGATGTCCACCAAATTCTTTATTTTTTATTTTTTATTTTATCTGCATTGTAAGTTTGTACCCTACGAATCTCGAGATGTACGTCTGTTGGTTAAAGGATTTCACCCACTTTTAATGAGAAGGGTGTGATTATTTGTGTTTTGTTTTTTATACTCTCTCCTCCCAAATAAAAGAAAGAACTTTTGAAATATTATAATACATAAAAAAAAATTAATATTAATATTTTAATAATTAGCGAAAATATGTGAAAATGTATTAACATTAAAAATATCATTATATTGGTATAATTTTGTTTTTAATTTGTACTATATATTGATATAATAATTAATATTCAAATATAAAAAAATAAAAAATAAAAAATAAATGGAACTTAGAACCGGACGGAATGGGTATATTTATTTAACCTATAAAGATATTTATCTTGTAATTTATTTTAAATAAATAAAATTTATATTAGAATGATTATTGTATTATTAAATAATTCAATTTTTTTACATATAAATTTATTCTTATTTATATAATATAAGTATATATATATGCTTACTGTAAAATAAATTAAAATTGATGTTTATTTAATAAATTAATAAAATTATATTAAATATTTTTATTTTTCTTTATTTATTCAATATATAGACAAAACTATAAAATTATTATATTTTTCATTCCCTCTCCTCTCCTCTCCTCTCCTCTCCTATTTAACCAAATACAAATACTTATAAAATTACTACATAATTCTACAATTTTTGTATACCATAAAAAATTAAACATATTTTATTAGGTAATTCATTTATTTATAATATATTAATTCAACTATACATCAACATATATACTTTATATAATTTAATAGTATTATTTTTATCAGTTAACAATAAATTGAATACATCATCCAAACTCCAAAGTCTTCACTAACAAGGGAGTGTTTTTTTTGTGCTTCCAATTTAATTTTACGTAAATATATACTCCTCCCGACTCAATTTATTATTTTTGTACGTTCCACTTAAAAAAAATAATATTCATTTCTTATAAATACTAAAATATCCCTTAATTTTTACAAAAATATTTTCTTCATTTTACTTACAATGGTAAAATTATTAATACTTTCCGGCTTATCAATAAAATATCATTATATTTTAACCTATCATTAAAAAAAAAAAAAAAAATTGAGTATTTTGAGTCAGAACGAAAAGAATAATATATAGCAAAAATTTTAAAATTAAGCCTTTTTTTTTTTTCTATTTATTTAGCCCTAAAAAACAGAAGATAACTAAATGGAATATCCACACTATGATCATTCTAACTATATTTCTCACTATTGCTATGATAATTATGAAATCTTGAAATAGTTTACCTCTACATAAGCTTGGCTGACAATAGATACAAGGAGTCTTCACTCAAGCAGCTGAGCAATCCCGAGCCCGGTAGACGAGCAAACTTGACGTCGCGAATGGGAGGCTTTAGAGGTTTGAACCACTCGACGGCATTTAGAGATGGCAATTCCTGCAAAGTGAGTTCATTTGTTGCTTCATCGCCAGAAACAAACACGGGTTTCGGGTATACTCCATCAATTATTGCCGATTTTGGGAATCGGATGTCGCTCACATTGGCAAAAGTGGTTCCTAGTTTGTGGTATCTCGAGCAACCTAATCTTTTGTAAAGGACATGACTTCCCACCGTGACTTGCCCACATGGCGCAAGTGTTGGTTGAGTGATCTCCACGGCTGATGGCTCGATTTTAGGTCGATAGGATGCGACAATATCATTGGTAGAGGGGCAATATGCAACGGATATACATACTCCTTGCTTGTCTGATTCTGGAATCAAAAATGGCCTACACCACGACAAAATTTTAATAATGAAATTGAAACTAGAGGTCTCCATAAATAGGTGTGATATAAATCGGAAAGACTCAAATAATAACAATCTAATATAAGATAATATAAACCTAATCTAAACTATAAACCAAATATCTAAAAATATAGTGTCTCCGTCCACCAAATCTATGCTCATTTTTCCTTTTTGTTTGTCCACAAAAAAATATGAACTTTCTATATTATTTAATTTATACCCTTCACTATTATACTTATTTACAAAACTACCATAACTACTTAGCACACTAAATTTATCAAAATGCTCATACTTATCAAAATATCCTTACTTTATGTCGCGATCAACCAATATGATACTGTATCCATGAAAACATGTGTGCAAACCAAATGAGCATACATTTGAAAGACGGATGGAGTATAAGATATCTCAACAAAAATAAATGTTACTGCTTTGCCTGTTCTTTCAACAAATTTTTAAAGCATCAAAAAACATAACTGAATGTACTATTAGATCCGACAAAATGTAAATTCCAAAAAGCAGGCGAGCATATGATCCCAATTTGCAACAATGGAAATTAAAGTAGTGAGCCCAAGAGAGAGCAATCGAATGTCACTAGTCCCTTCAGTCTTACACCTTGGAAATATTATAGTTAAAGACTAATTTGAACGAAACAGATGAAACTAAAGTGTTTTCAAATGGAAAGACGGAAGTAACAAGGGATTATGGCAACAAATATATGAAAAGATTAGAGGTTGGGAAAGAAGTCGATCAGTGGTCTGTGAAAAGAAAAGTAAAATAAGCTTTTCATTCATTTTTCTCATTTTCTTGGAAGGCAGCCAGTTTTTATTTTTAATTTTAAACTATATATGCCATCTAAATCATTTCCTTCTCTATCCAATTCCTATCATCAAAGATTATAACAAACAGTGAAAGAAATCTATGGCTTCATAAGTTAACACATCTGTAAACATACATTAAGGAAAGGGAGTGGGGAATGCTACGGAAACATACCTTCCTTCACGTCCACCGAAGTTCCATTGACATAAGCCAATGGAAGATGCGGAAAGAACACATCCGGTGCCAGAGCTTAGAGATGAATCAGACAAAAGAGAATGCAATGTATGAACTGGGCTATCTCTCAATCCAGTCAAACATTCCACATGAGTCTTGGTGTAGCGTCTGTCGAACTGCAAAACCATGCCATTCTGCAAGGATATTATAATTAGAGAGTTGATATAAATAAATAAAGCTGTATAAGATAAGGAAGATGCCAAACATCAAACGAAACCTGTAAGCCTGCATATGCATATTGTGCATTGCTAGCATCCCATGAACATGACCAGGCAGCAGCCTGAGGATTCAAAAACCATCACAGCTTCAACATGATAATAATAGAAAAGATAATAGTTACAGCTACTCAATAACATTTTAGAAAAGACAGAACATGATCATATACTTGCACAATCTCACGGTTCTTCAAAAAAATAATGATTATTTTGTTGGATTTTGGGCTTCCAACTAAAGCGAAAAGGTCCAAATACTTCATGGGTAATTAAGGACCACTAGGAAGATAAAAGATCTTGATTTTAGGGTTAAGGAATTAAAGACAATGCAGGTAAGCTGCGCCAGAAACAGGGAAAAACAGGGCATTTGTGCAGTTCTTCCGTTAACTGTGCAGTCTCGGATAGCCGAGCTTCTTTTTTAGCAAAGAAAACATTGTCCGATTGGCTTGGATTTTTTATGGAAATAGAAGACATTCTATTCTTAGTTTTGAATGGTGGAGATTGGATTTAAATGGTTAAAACTCTTGGAATAAAATTCACTGGAGATTTGGTTGTTTTGTATTTCGTTAATGGTAGGACTTGAGTCATATCGTGTAATTTCTCATTGAAAACTTTATTTTGAAAATGTGAAGTTGGTTCTCACTCGTTATATGGATGCTAACAAGGCTAGAGATTTAGATACTTCAGAGTCTACTTTGGGTTATGTAATTCCTTTCCACACGAGCAATTTCCTAGCAATCCAAACTACAGAAATGTGTTGCTTTCTCAAACATCCTACCTTTTGAAGTCGAAACATTGAAGTGAGATATCATTGGTTGCATGATGTGTTGGACAAAAAGTTAACTGAACCTGAAATAGGATGATAATCGAGCTGATATGCTATAAGCAATGTGGGCCAAGATGAAAATTCTAATTTTGTTGCTCACATGCCAGAATGAGAAGTTCCTTCTCCACAAGGTTGGGGGGGGGGGGGGGGGGGGGGGAGGGAATTTGTTGGGTTTTGGAATTAAGGAATAAGTAAAGACCTATTAAGAAGATAAAAAAACAATGATTTTAGTCAAAACTACACAGCCACTCAAGAACCAGAGAAAAAATAAAGCATCCATTAATTCTGCTTTCTTTGTGCAGTCTCAGTACTCTCGAGGTTTTGGAATAGTAAATATTGTCTAAGCAGCCTTTTTCTATGGTTTGAATGGGGGGATTGGATTTCAATGGCTAAAAGTCCAAGAATTAATTTTTGAGGGTGGAACAGTTTTTTTGCCTTTTTATCTACATATTTTATTATTCAGTTGATATTTGGGCCATATGGTGACTTTGTTGATAACCCAAGGCCTTATCTCATTGTGTGATTTTCGTATTCTATGTTGATTGGTTATAGTTGAGTTTTCAGTGAGCTCAAAAGCCCCGTGATTTTTCTTCTCCACATTAGAAAGGTTTTTCACGAAAAACTTTGGGGTTATTGGCATTCTTTATTTTCGATCTCTGGTTAGTCTAATGCTCCTAATATGGTTATGGCAAATTGGAAGGTATTGTAGATGTTTTAATGACATTCTTACAGACACAATTACGGGATTAGCTAACATTGCACCAAATATTACAGTTGTAATGTGTCGTGTTCTAGTAGGGTATGATTTTCATGGATTCCTAGCTAAGGAATGATTGCAAGAAGCTTCAAAAGCTGTGAATTTTACTATAAGAAAAATCAAGGTAATAAAAAAACATTACCGGAAGCTGATAAGTAAGAATGGGATTGTTGCTCTCCGTGCTGAAACATAGTAGAAGGAAAGCACAACAGATGATCAGAGAAAACTAAAATAGCTCCAATGACTGCCTATTTGGTAAGAAAGGGAGCACACTACCTGAATATCAATAGTTTCTTTCCTAAGGAAGCCAACAGCACATGTTTGCTATGAGGAGAAATCTTCAGATCCTTGACAACTTTGATGTTCTCAGGGAGACGAATATCATCCTTTTCATGGCTATTAAACATGCTAACCTGAAAAGATTCTTTACTAAATCAAATGAATGTTCACAAGATCAAAAGCAATATATATATACATATATATGAAAATTTTGTACAGACTTATCAAAAACCAAAAGGATCCATGTGGCCAAAATGATTTTATATTTCCGAAGGACCACAAGAACATACTTTGGTCAGCACGTGCAGTCCCGCCCTGCCTGGAAGTCTTCGAGCAGTTATAAATAAATGACTGGAACAATCAATGTCAAAGAGGCGAGCACCCACTACATGACATTCCATCTACAAAAGTAATATCAAATTAAAGAGATTTCTAAGCAAAGTTATGATCCATTATCAAATAGGAAAACATTTAAAACATTAAATACGAGTCACATGATGTTGTTACATACTTCGCTTCTTTTCCAAGAACCATTTCAGAAAATTTCAGAAATAAGACTTGAACTCATTAAAATTTTAATCCGGTGTATGTCTTGGACAATAAATAGAAAGATGGAAAAATCAAATACATAATAGAATTGGAAATCCACACAATTTCTGTAATTCATCAGACCAGGATGAAAGTTTTGCACATTGCCCTTCAACATTTATGGCTTCAAATTGCAATAAGGAAAATGACCTAGAAGAATTACTACCTCCAATTTAAATCTACTCATACATCCTTCCATTTGAAACCTGCCGCATACATCAAGATCTGCAGAGAAAAAATTAAGAGATATCAGGGACCAAGAAAAACCTAAAATAAAGCATGAGTCCATCCTACTCATTACAATTTTAATTAGTGAAAATTACCCGAGGTTGGCCATCTTTGAATTTGACCATTTAAATAGGTGGGAGCAGTTGCTGGTACCCTGTGATCCGTATCTCCTAAAAGACCCTCCAGACCATGTGTCCTCTACAAGACAGCAATATTGTAATAATGACGACTTTTTGTGATAATAATAATAATAATAATAAATCATATGAAGATGACTCATTGAGTAATTCCCAGATATTGGCTTCTCATGTTTCCCAAATTAGAGATAATAAAAAGTAGAAATAAGCAATTCAAAGTATGAGTAGTGATAACACTCCAGAAACATTTTATCTATTAGTAAGACTAAAAATCCAACGCATGTGAATGTGATTGTTAGAATTTAGAGAATAATAGCTAAGAGAAGAATTTGAAAGCAGCCAAATTCTACTTTCACCATTTTCCCACAAAAACCAATGGAATCGAATCTAACAAGATAATACTTTTCCAGTATCAATTTCCAAAACATGGACACAAAAATAATAATGTGAAACAGAAAGAACACAGGCTCTTTCGCTGCTAATCTTCTAACATCAATACTTCATAATTGTAGCATCGCATTTGATGCTCATCAATATATTGGATTAACAGCCAAAAACATTGGACACAGTAGTTTCATAAAAACAGATGAAATACTGGCTATAAAGAGGAAGAAACAATCAGGATATAGATGAAACCAATAAAGATATATGAACAAGATGAAGCAAATACCTCCTTAAGATGTTGCATTTTCTCCTGCATATCAGCTTCTCTCTGCCTCCATTCTACTTCCATCTTAGAAAAGGACAAGCACAGAAGGGAAGGGTAAAAATCACAGGTTGACATAAAGTAGATCCCACAGGTGGGATTTTAGAGGATTCCTCGAAATTAGGCACAGTACAAAGCAGAAATGAACCAATTCCAATTCATAAGAAAATCAATAAATAAGATACATTAGCATTTAGTACAGTACTAGACCAAAGACAAATTTACATACAACCCCCTTCTACTTTCAATTATTTCCACAGAATTTACAGGAATTCAACTGGATAATGTTTAGCAGTAAACATGTCCAAAGTAAACAGAAAAAAGAATAATCTGTAGCAGTAAAAGTGTACTCATGATAAAATTTCTTCGTGTGTGTTTGTTTGGGGGTTTGGATTTTGAGTTGGGATTTGAATAGTAAAAATTTTGAATTTGAATAGTTGTATGATGTGATATAAATAGGTGTTGATGTGATGTTTTGAATGTAAAATTGATTTTTAGTATAATATAAAAAATGAAAAATACGTGTTTGATTTGATGTTTTTTGGGGGAAAAAATGGGATGAATCATTTAAAATCCAATCCTCCAAACAAACACACCCAAAATCGTTAATTGCAGCAATAAGCACTTAAGATTAAGACCCACAGAAAAAACGAATAACAGCCAAACCAAAGTGTTAGCAATGAACGAGTGGATTACAAAATCATTGGCCCTATTAGTCTTAAAAAAAAATGAAAAATAGCAGCTATAAAAGGGTACAAACAATCAGGGAATAGAAAACATGGATGAAGAGACAGAAACTAGCACAAGCAATACCTTCTTGAGACATTGAACTTCCTTGAGGATATCAGCTTCTCTCTTCTTCCATTCAGATTCCATCTTAGACCAGTTAGCATTCTGTAACATGCCGAATAAAAGCAAGTGAAACCATCAACTACAAGGATAAAACAACAAAAACTGCCAACTTGCTAAAATGATCCTAGAGTACGTGTAGTACTAACTTCTTATAAATGTATGTCCTAACATCATCATATGATAGAAGCCAGGCTAATATTGATGTAACAGAGAGGCTACAATGAACATCTGACAAAAGTTATCTCTTGCAACTATAAAGCAACAACCAGAATGTTTAATCCAACAAATATTACTAACATCAATCAACAAAATATATTACTGAAGCTCCTAGTGAAAATTGAAATCAAGACCATTTTCTACATGGAGGTTGAAGTGAAGGTTCATGAAGTCAGGAACGAGAAATATATATATATATATATATATTACATAACATATACAATGCTACTTACCAAGCTTCATCTGATACCAACACTAAGTTATACACTTTTACTCACATCACAAACAATAAGAGAGTGCAGATACAAGATTAAGTAAAATAATGCATCTACAATTGACTTGCAGATTTTCTTCAGTACCAACATATTACATGTTTGTGGAAAATAAAATAAAACCCAACCTAAACAACAGACACATCTAACTATAAATTTCAATGTCATAAAAACTCAGAATACTGCATGTGAAATGTTGCTCAACTTCATAGCACAGAATGAAGTTAATTCAATGCAACAATCTCCTTGACAAGCTATAAACCAAGACCATAGTTGATAAAAGTTAACAAATGGAAAGAAAATATAACAGTGGCTCAGAATTAACCAGAAGCTAAGGAAACACATCCAATAACAGTCGGTCATATTTCAAGAATACTTTGTTTGATTTACAAATAGCCATTACTTACCACAATATTGTTTCAAGTAATCTTGAAACTATAACACATAATTTTTTGAAAGCACAATACAATACAATTTCAGTAGGGGCATAATTTTTTCAAAGCACAATACAACACAATTTCAGTAGGGGAAAAACAAAAGGTAAAAGTAAAAAGAAAAAAGAAAAGCATGAAAGATCATCAGACTTTCATGATAATAAGATATATAAAGTTTACACAAGCACAAGTATAAATCATTTATAGGCAAACTGCAAACAGATGGATTTCATCAGATTACCTACAAGAACAAGGATAAAAAAAAAAGAGTCCATTTTCACATGTATGCTCACCTTTTTCTCAAGAGTCGCACATTTAGCTTCAAGTGATTGCACTCTCTGCGGACAAAGAAACCAAACACACACAAATAAAAAAATTAAAAAAAAAAAAAGGATCACAATCCAATTAACTAATCCAATATAAACACAACGCTTGCCGCTCTCCATGACCTCAACCAAAACACACCTTTTGAAGCTCACCATCAACGGCAACAACTTGTGTAGCATAAAGCAGACGGATATCCTTCACCCCACAATCTTTTTTACATTGGGGGCACTAAACACAGAAAATTAGAAACAAAATTGCAGAAAAGTATTAAAAAAGATAAAGATTGCAGCACATATCATCGAACACTAATTGTAAGCTAAATTACCTTACTTGAACGAGGCCGCCTCAACCATTTCTTGATGCAAGAAAAGCCATATATGTGCCCGCACGGCAAACAACTGTTAATTACAGAAAAAACCTTATACACTAAATGTAAGCGATGAATTCTACACAATATAGGTTTAATTTTATTGAGACGTACCAGACATTGTGGTCGCTGCCAGAACCAGAAGACCACGGCTCGAAGCAAATGGGGCATATCAGTCCATCAATTTCCCCCCGATTCAACTCCTCGCCATTTACCCCATGATCATTGACGTTTCCACCATTGTTGAATTGATTACAACCCACTTCTCCGCCGTTGCTTTCGCCCACTACTACCAAGTCATTACTTGAAGCCTGGGTGTCAAGATCCAGTGCTTCTCGAGACGTGCCTGCAATCGTATTGCTGCTACGATTACCGTACAATACCTCACGCAATGTCCTTCTGGCGCCTTGATCGGCGTCATTGCTGTTGCCATTATCTTCCTCTCCTTGTTCTTCTTCTTCTTCTTCTTCTTCTTCTTCGTCCTCTTCATCTTCTTCTTCTTCTTCTTCTTCCTCCTCCTCCTCGCTTTCTACATCAATGTATGAACTCATATGCCGGAGATCATCCATTGCCTGCTCAAAAAGATGTAAAGCATCGTCGCGGTGGCTTGGATCCCACATGTATGAGCAATAGTGCGGTGTGGTTCTGTGGAAATTTGGGGATTTAGGGTTTCGGAATCCGCTAATTTGGGGTGGCCTTGTCGTCGTTTCACACTATGTGATATCCATGGACAGGTTTGTTTAACCCATAGGCAATGTCTATTGACTTGCTATCGGTTTGTTAGGGTGCGTTCCTTCCCATTGGTTCGGAAAATCTGATCTGTATTTTTTGTTGGATATGGTTTCCTTTTTTCTAATTTTTTTTTTTTTGTTTTTTTATTTATTTACAATGTGAGAATATGTTGTTGTTATGCAAAAGTGGTGCCTGATAAATTCGGCTCGATCTAATACCCTATTTGCAAATTAAATCTAACAAGTTAAATCACATTAGACTAAGACAGATGATTTGGAGGCGTTAGAATTTGAACCATACTAGAAATTTATTTATTTTTTTACTTTTGGAAAGATATAGTTTGAATTTAAAGAGTTTTTAATGTGTATTAATTTGATAGTCAACTGATGTAATAATGTATATATGTATTAAATTATATTCATTGAAATTAATTATAAGTATGATTTGAGTATTAATTTATATTAATTATAAATAAATATTTATATTTTTTTATTATTTATAGTATTATTTAAAATTTTATTGACATGCATCTTATATATATTTATTTATTAAATTATAGTTATTGAACGAATTAAATGGTTAATTCGTTCTAGTGCAGCACCGGTTTACAAATCGGGCTATAATTATCTATTTTAAAAAGAATCAAAACCTACATATGGAAGTTTCATGCCAAAAAATACTATAAACGAAAAATACTATAATCTATATTAACACAATGCTTTGTTCACTTTGTGTTTTTTATGTTAAGTACGAGATATTGTATTGATATTATAAAAATAAATAAAATTTTGTGTTGAATGATTGAACGATAAACTAGTGTGTTTGTTTGGGGGTTTTGATTTTGAGTTGGGATTTGAATAGTAAAAATTTTGAATTTGAATAGTTGTATGATGTGATATAAATAGGTGTTGATGTGATGTTTTGAATGTAAAATTGATTTTTAGTATAATATAAAAAAATGAAAAATAGGTGTTTGATTTGATGTTTTGGGAGAGGAAAAAAATAGAATGAATAATGTATTTAAAATCCAATCCCCAAACAAATACACAGTAGATATATTATAGATAATACTATATAATATTTCCTTGCATTTTAATAAAAAAATATATATATATACAAAATGCACTCTTAACACATGTGCGACTTCTTTAGGATCAACCCTGGGTGGTAGGTTGTCGGTAACAGAAATAGGGTTATGGGTCTGTCCTCCTGATCGTTCTTCTCTTGGATAGGTCGATGGGAGGACGTCAAGCCTTGCACCAAACGGGATGTTGTTGAGGTAAGTGAGGGGAATTTTTCCCTATCCGTCCTAAAAGGGGCAATAGCACTTTAGATAGTACTATCCACATAGGACGGTCCAGCAAAATTTGTTTAAAATCGGAAATGGGACATTCCTAGTGGCGTAGGACAGACTCAGTGTGACCTTTGACATGGCTTGGCCAAGCATGTTCTGCATCAAGTTTTGTTGCCCCCGCAGCATAGTCTGCACAATCGATGTTTGTTGATTGTTCATTTGTTGAACATATGATAACAATTCGATATGTACTTGAGCTGCTCCTTTTGTGTTTGGGACGGTCACTGTAATCGGCGTAGGGTAGACGCTCTAAAGGTGTGGGACTGAGAGCTTGCCATGTAGATCCTTCCAATGATTCGGCCGGACTAGAAACGTATAAAATTTTTGTTTGATATAAGATCAGCAGTCTTGCCTATACTTCTATTGTAGTCGTCAAATTGTTGATGAGAAAATTTCAATAATAAAAAGTAAAACTAAAAAATATATTTCGAATTTGATAGGTGGTGCCTGAGATCAAGGATTCTTAAGCACTAAACTTGAATACACTAAGAAATGATTAGATAAAAGCTGGGAAAAATATGAAAATAACGATCCCCAAAGAGATTCTCTTGAATTTGTTGTCGATTGAAGATGATATATCCCTTCTTGCTGAAGCCCTTAAATAAAAACAGTCAATCTGTCTGAAACCGTCTGCCAATCGGTTATCGAGATCGTGTGCCCAACTGACAATAGTTTCACATTATACATCTCATATTGTTGTACCAATCGTTAAAACCAACTGCTTGTCCCTCAATTTTTTTTGGCATTTTTGACAAATCAACTTCCTTCACATCAGGTCTCTTGGCCTGACCAATACTAACTAGGACAGTCCTCTAAAAGGACTAGACGATTGGTCTTTTGAATGACCCAATTAGTTGCTCTTTTGAGACCCAACCCTTATTCAGACCCCGGGGCCCACCACCAGGCCCACTTTGACTCAGTATTTTGGTTCGAAACCCTAATTTTAAATTTACATGCTCAACAATAATATTGATATATTTAGTGCTAGTTAAAAAATATTAATGCAAGAATGAAATTAATATCAAAGAATGAAATTAATATCATCATGAACTGAGTCGAGGAATGCCTTCTTTTTGCAAATTAGATTACGCCATATAATGTCTCCAAAAAGATAAACAATTTTCAAATTTTGGTCTAAAAAAAGAGTGACACATTTAATCCTTAGAATTTCAATAAACTAAAATAATGAGAGAGGTGCCGAAAAGCCTTTGCAAGAAAGGAAATGATATGAGAGGAGACGGGAGAATGTGGTGATATGTTGGAGAATGAAAAATGAAGGCCCGTCATATAAGCGTCTTCACTCAATTAAGGAAGTACTCACTCACCATTAATTATTGTCTTAGTTATTGATGTAATTAAAAGTCGCAATTTACATTTATTTCAAACATTTTGTTTGATCTGATCATAATTTACGATAATTTCAAAGATTTCATTTGAAGTTATAATGGATATATATATGCTTAAACATGATTTTATCTTGATTAATATGCAACTTCAGTTATATATTTTGGTTTAACTTTGATTTTCATAATTTAGTTTATCTCGAGACGGACAAAATAGTCAAATATTAGCAAAACTTCATATCCAATATATATAATATATTTAATCTACATTAATTCAATTTATTTGGTGCACTGATTCGCATTTTCAATTACCGATTAATCAATTTTGTATATTTTGAATTTAATTTGCTAAATTTAAATTTTATCAATTAAATAATTAACCGATTGTCAACATTTGGTACAACAATGACACATGAAATGTTTTTGTGCGAAGGATTTTGGGGATTCTTTATTATTAAAAAAATTAAAATATCAAACCAATACTTATTTTATTTTGTTATATTATATTAAAAATTAACTTATATTTAAAACATCGCATTAACACTTATTTATATTATATTATAAAAATAATTTAATTCAAAATTTAATTATTTAAAAATAAAATCCAAAATCTATGTGATTGTTTTGTAAAATAATTTGAATGAATATTTTTTTATGTAAAGTATAATATATCGTCCCATAAATGGGTTGGATAGTTGGTAAAAAGTATGGATAAAAGATTTTTTTGCCCTTGTGAGTGTATTCGAGTAAAAAGTAGTGACAATTGTATAATAAAAATAAAAAGTACGGGTAGTTTTATGGTGATATGATTATTTATGGAAACAAGAGTATTATTTTGGGACGGACAAAAATGATAAACAATACTATTGTATTGAGACGAAAGAAAGTATATAAAATATAAATATATTGAATATATGCGATATATTAATATTTTTAAGAAATATATATATTTATATATATATATATATATTTTTTTTTTGTTAAAACAACATACCTTTTAAACTCAAACAAGCACAACCATCCTGGTTTTGCAAAATTAAATAAATAAGAAATCACTTTTCAAGAAATTAATTTCCGATAACACCACAAGACCCTCAGTTAATAGACATATATATATATATATATGTTTGATGTATGTATTATTTGGTTTGACCGCCCAAATATATTATTTTGATCGAATTGAATTAATAATTTTTTATCTGGGTCTATAAGGGTATATTTTATTTTTTTTATTAGTTTGAAAAAAAAAAATTGATTTGAATTTAATATTAAAATAATATTTGTAAAATTAAAATAATAAAAAATTAAAAATTTAATAAAAAAGAAACAAACTCTACCGTGTTTCTTGTTTTTTTTTTAATATTTTATAATAAAAATACTACGCAAACACACCCTTTATTCTATAAAAAAAAAAAAACAATGAGTTTATTTGTTTAGTATTTTGATTTGAATTTTTTTTTTCTATATATTAAGAATAAAGAATTGTTTTTTTATAAAATAATAAAATATATATATTGAAAATCGTTATGAAAGAACAAAGTCAATATTTATATTCAATATATACCAAGTATATATCATCCGTTCAAATTCAAAGTACATTTTGCTATTTTCGTCAGTTCTACTCAAAAGTATAATTTTTTATTTTAGAAAAAGTAATTATTCACTAATATTAAAATGTTATTTCATTTTTACTTAAATTACAAATATACCATTACACATATAAATAGTTTATACAAAAAAATCAAGGAACAAAAATTATCAAAATCTCTTACACATTTTCACTATTAAAAAAAACTATTATTTATTAATTTACTACAAAACCCCAAAAACATTTGAAACAGAACGAATATTCAACAACAAACCCTGACCATTAGCCCAACAAAACTAAGGGTGTGCTTATTTTGTGATTTGCTTTGAAAGAATTATGTTTTTTTTTAATTTGAAATATATAAAATTATTCCGATAGTATAAAAATAATAAATATATATAATAATATATTATTTTTTTTTGTTCCAACTAAATTATCTAATTTAGCTTAGACACAAAATTCTAGGTATTGTGTAATTAATAAGTAATTTAGAAATGTATTAGTAAAAATAATTATGATTTAATAAAAATAATTATAGATTAAAATTAAGATGACTAACTAATTTAATTAAAATAAAATAATTATAAATTATGAATTTTAAAATATAATTAAAATATATAATTATATATTTTTTTTAAAAAATAACAAATAATGTGAAATAAGATAAAATAAAAAGACTAGACAAATTAAGTGAGACATGATTTATTTATTTATTTTTTTTTTTGTAATTTTTCTTTTTAAAAATGCCTTATAAAATTATGAGTAAAAGACTAAAGTCTAATTAATTTCAAATAATTTTGTAGTTTGGTGGCCGCTGACGCGGTGCCACGTGGGATGATGTCACGAGTCATCCCTGTACGGTACCGTGTATTAATTGGATACAGGTAGGAATATTCCTGCCCCTTTAATTTAAATAAAATAAAATAAAATTAGTGGAGTTGGATTTTTTTATAGTGCATTAAATTGGTTGATTGTTTATGCAATAAATCAATTTATTAGTGTTAATATTTTAAATCAAATTAATAATTTATAACAATAATAATAATAAAAGTATTGAATAAATAAAAATTGAAAAAAAAAAACAGCTGTATAAACAAATCCCTTTACATAGATTAATAAATAATAAAAAATACGAGCACGCAAGTCACGTGCTCCGGTGCGCAGCGGCACCTGCTGCCGGAGATTCCTCCCTTCGCCGGAGATTCTTCCGTCGGATTGTTCTCAGTCAATGTCAGTCTACTCGGAGAAAGCGAGAGATTCGATGAATTTCTGTCGATAAACATGTAAAGCGTGAGAGAATCTAGCAAAATCTTAAATTGGAAAAAAAAAAGGCGGAATGTCACAATTCTCGTGAGGGGTCGCCATCATCACCAGCAAATCGACAAACGAAGGAAAGCATCGCCCACCGCAGTCCACACTTGTTGTGGATTACCTACCCCAAAATCACCAGGCACGTTTGATTCTCGCTCATAATGCACCCAGCTGATAATTATGGCGTCACAATTTCACTTTCACCACTGAAAGCCACTCTTGTTCCCCTACCCCTTCCCCTCCCTCTCTCTCTACACATGTATTTGTAATCGAGCGCAATTACGATTCAATTTCTGTGGTTCACAGCCGGAATTGTCATCCGATTTGGTGTTTGCAAATTGAAATTGAAAACCCTAATTCAAAATTGGGGAAACAGCTGCGGATGCGATGGGGTTGCTGCTTGACGATGCGGTGATAATCAAGCTATCCGAGAAGGAAGAGGAGCCTACTATTATCACTGTAAATTGTCCCGATAAGACTGGATTGGGTTCAGATCTTTGCCGCATAATCCTCTTCTTTGGTCTCACTGTAACCAGAACTGGTATGCATATATACCTTTGTACCTCTTTTTGTTTCTTCTTATTGTCTATAATTCAAGATAAAATCACTTGATGTATTCTGAAGTGATTGATTCATTCGATGGAATAGTTAATTGTGGATGAAGGTTCAGAGGTTTCCATTTTCCAATGGTCACTGTTTTTGTTGAGTTTGCTAATTGCTACTGCATCTTTCTTGTCTTTCCATGGTTGTGTTGGTGAAGACATGTCTACAGATGGAAAATGGTGCTACATAGTGTTTTGGGTGATAGGCAAACAGGTCACAAGATGGAGCTTGCTGAAGAAGAGGTTGATGGGGGCATGCCCATCTTATTATTCATTGGCTTCGGGAATTTCGTATTACAGAGCTGAGTTGCAGCCCCCCAAGCCTTCTGATGTCTTCCTTTTAAAGTTATGCTGCCATGACAGGGGAGGTCTTCTATATGGTAAATTCTGCATTCTTGTCGATGTTGAATCAGTAGTATTTCTGTTTTGTGATTGTAGTTTGAAGAGGGGATAAGTTATATGCGACTGAATGAGCAATCCTTAGTATTTTGTTCTATATAAAGGGATATAATTGATGCGAAAGAAAATTAAGTAGAGAATGAAAATAGATTTTTTGTTTGGTAAAATTAAGAATTCAATGAAGAAATGTAATATATAATTTGGATAAATTGATCTATAGGAGATAATGTATTACATTTCAGAATGAAAAGGAAAAAAAAAAAGAAGAAGAAAAATGAATCGATTAGGAGGAGACAATGAATTAACTGAAAAAGGATTTCAATGGATCCAGAGAAATATTGTTGATGTGATTAGTTGGTGACTTTTTATTTTTTTGGTTTTGGTTTGAACAATAATTTGAATGTGATGTTTGATGTGATGAAATATAAGTTAATCGAAAAAATTGAATAGTAGAAAATAGTTGTCAAATTCTTATTTTTTATTTCTCTCAATTTCTCTGATAAGGTAGAACTATGAAAACAGAGAATTTCTCATTCTCCGACTCAAACAAATATGGAAAATGTCATTTCTTTATTCTCATCCCTAAGGTTGTTGTTCAAGAAAGGATTACTTGGTAAGACTAAAATGTTATTTTTTGGCAGATGTGACCGAGGTTCTTTGTGAACTTGAGCTAACGATAGAGAGAGTAAAGGTATCAACTACTCCGGATGGAAAAGTGGTGGATCTTTTCTTCGTAACCGACACAAGGTTTTTACAATCTTGACAATTATGGCTTCTCTGTTTTGTTTACTTATTCCAATGAGATCTGATTGCGTAGTTGGTTCGAGAACTCATGACTCTGCTAATGTCCTCATCAGGGAACTGTTGCATACAAATAGCAGGAAGGACGATGCTTGCTTTCATCTAAAACTTGTTCTTGGCGATGTAATTATCAGTTGTGATATAGAAATGGCGAGCCCTGAAGTCACTGCCTGTTCTCAAGGACCCTCCTTTCTTTCAGATGCGATTGCTGAAGAGATGTTCGATATAGAGATGCTTGACAAACGGCAAGATGATTGTACGGCCTTTAATTGCCCATCCATCACGATGGACAACTTGTTGAGTCCTTCCCACACGCTTGTCCAAATCGTTTGCCAGAATCATAAAGGTCTGTTATATGATGTAATGCGAACATTAAAGGACTACAACATTCAGGTATTTGCAAGATTTGCCCCTTCTAAATTTGAGGTGCCGATTCAATCTGCTTAGCTGAAAGCTGACCCTCTTCCTCATGCTTAATCAGATTTCTTACGGACGCTTCACCACAGGCGGGAAAAGCAACGGTGAAATGGACTTATTCATTATGCAAGCAGATGGTAAGAAGATCATCGACCCCAGCAAGCAGAATGCTCTGCGCTCTCGTCTACAAACAGAACTAAGCCGTCCTCTCAGAGTAGCATTGATTAGCCGTGGCCCTGATACTGAACTGCTAGTTGCAAATCCTGTTGAGCTATCCGGAAAGGGCCGGCCCCTAGTTTTCCATGACATAACCCTCGCCCTCAAGAAGCTTAACACACCAATATTTTCGGTACTTTTTACATAAGATTTCTTTTAATTCGGAAATATACTGTTCTCCAGTTCTGTAATTGTTGTCTGGTTTTGCTGCTTTTCAGGCTGAAATCGTTAGGTATGAGGTTGGTGATCGCGAGTGGGAAATTTACAGAGTTCTACTAGATGAAGGAGACGGATCCTCCATTCCAAAGAAAAAGATAGAGGAAACCGTGTGGGATATGCTAATGCGCTGGGAGTGAAAATTTCCGAACTTCCTGCTCTACTTGATCATCGATCTTCATCTGCTGCCCGGGTATGCGATTGTTCTTAATGTTCTTGTGCATCGTGTAAAAGACTAGATTTTCAGGTCATATGTATCTTTTAGTTTAGCTTAGCTTAAATCCGAAGAAATATGGGGATTATGTGTGTATATTCATCCAGCTTGTGAAAATAGGACATTAAGCCATTTCTCTAACTTATGAAATGCTTTGCGATTCGAAACTCAAATGTACAAATAGACAGGGAGAATTCCGGCTGTTATATTCGACGTATTGTTCTTACAATTTCCAGTATATCCCAAGTTTGTGCAGGATGCCGGAAACCACTGCCCAGAAGGTAATCTCAGCAAATATTACGTAGAGTAGAGTCCCGACTCGCTCAGATTTCCAGACATCGATGAAAACGTGCTGCTGAATCCAGTTCACCTGAAGAAAAGAACACGAAAGGTATAATCGAACATTCATCCAGTCCTCGAACATTGTACATATGCATACTGATTAAATTTCATTACCAGATTGTTGTCGGGATTCTTGAAATACCATCCGTTGACGAAGGCTGCGAAGATCCCCTGCGCTGCCATCACGAACACAAGCATCGCGTTCATCCCTATCCACTCCAAGAACAAGAATGGCACGCGCATTCCCCAGACGTCAATCTGCGCAACCATTTGCTCGAAGATTTGTTATCGAGGAGAATGTTGGCCCGGATCAAAACAGTGTCGTTCTTACCAGTATGTAAAAGGCGGAGAAGACAATGCCAGCAGCCCCAGCGGTGAAGCAGACATAGCTGAAACTGTAGAGCTGCTTGTTGATCGGAATTGCTGATTCGAAAACACCGTCAGTCTCGATTCTCCGGGATAAAAAACAGCGTAAAAGTATGTCATTACCATCCGTAAAGTGAAGAACGAAGGCTACGGTCAGCAACACCAGTGCCATCGGCACCCATTGTTTCAGCCTCTCCGCGTGGCCCTGCAACAAAGAACGTCGTATCAGAGTTTTCGTCGGAATTCAAAGATTTCAATAAAGTGTGTTCTCCGATTCTCTATCAGCATACTCGGAAATGGATCAAGACATGGCCGTAGTGAACTCCGATGGTGCCGGAGACAATGGCTGAGATCGAGCTGCAGCGAAAAGAATCTCGTCATAGTTAGCTCAATGTCGAAGATGGATAAAGTGAAACAAACGATCGAAATCAAAACCTGAGCAGGCCTTCGGGTTCGAACGGTGCGCGACACCAAGCCGGCGCATCCTTTCGAAGAGGACCGGCAGATGGAGAACTGAAAGTACAAGCCTGCAAGTCAATCGATGAGCATACGGCGGGAACCTTAAACCGGAACGTAAAGCGCAAGAAAAGGGTTCGGGAGCGCTAACTCGTAATCGCGACCAAACGGGTTGGTTGTAGAGATGATTAATGCCCCAGACTTGTCGATCGACATAGCCTACCGCGTTGCAGGCCGGTCCGAGATGTCCTCTCATTCCACATTTCACCTGAAAGTTACGATTCCGGCGTGTTATCGAGTTTTCGAAGAAGTTCCGATAGTGCTGCAACTATCGTCGATTGTTACCGTGTATCTTCCCGTTTTGTCCGTGAAGCTCCAGTCGGGAACATACAGAGAGAACGTCGTGACCATGTAGATCGTGAATGCTACGAAGCCTCCGATCCTGCAAACGACGACGCAATTATTGTCATACGATTGTCGTCGGTGGAGACTGAATAAGGTGCGGCGAGTATATCACCATTGGCATTTATATGCAGTGAAGATCGAGAAGTGATTCGGGTTTAGAGTCGCCGGCTTGAGCTTCGTCGTTAAGACCTCGATCAAAGCCACCACGAAGTACACCAACGCGATTCTCTGCGACACGAGAAAGACACATCGAAACAAAGAGTTACGGAGTCCTCCAAAGTATTGGCGACGGTGACGATGAAATAGTTATCACCTGGAGAATACCGAACCATCGGATGAGCTTCATGTCGACACCGTAAGATAAATCGTCCGGCGCGTGCGAATACCCCCCTACAAGATTCGTTTTTGAAGTTACTACAGAAATAGACATAGGTCAGGTCTCGTAAGAATTTCGAAAACTCCAAAATCGACAAAACCTTGAAGAAGAACACCCCAAAAGAGAAGCTTCAATGTCCTCAAAGCTATCTTCCTAATCGCTTTCCGAGCATCGGGAATCCTCTACAAGATTCTCGATAGGTTAGAGCTTTGTTTACATAGATACTTTTGAAAGTTCTGATCTTATGGAATCTCAAGACAGATAGGAAATTTCAGTAAATTCGAAAAATCACAGTGAGATTTCAAAACTTAATAAGTTTCTTCCTAAACGGAGTCAAGATTTCAAGCTCGTAAGAAACGAGCACGTACCTTAAGAGCGAGGGCGATGGCGACGCCGACGATGAATAGGAAAAACGGCATGACAAAGTCGGCCAAGGTGCATCCATTCCACGGCGAGTGATCGATCCGCGAATACGCGGACCCAGCGTCGTCGACGAGCACCATCAGCTGCGTAACGGTAACGTGAATTATCGCTCATTACATATAATTAACAAGCGTAAGCGACTGTCGGGGCCATATATACCACGATGGCAAGTCCTCGAAAAGCGTCTAAGGTTGCGACTCTTTTGTTCGACGTCGTCTTCTGCTGCGCGCCGCCGGGGATGTCCGAAGCTGGACCAGCCGCATTCTTTTGGTCGTGCTCGCCTTGTCCTGACTCTTTTTCGCCGGAAATGGGATCGGCGTTTGCGCCCGCCCCGAATCCTTCCTCCAGCTTGCTCGGATCCTTCTCCATTGATCGAAGCACCGGATATGTCTACGTGTTCTCGATATATATATATATATATAGATATAGATATAAATAAGGGGAAGTGAGGGAGACATGAGACAACATTGAATTCAGACGCCGGCGAGGAATCGAAGGAGAAAGAAGACAGAAGCTAGGAGATAGGTAGATGAAGACAAATATGGAGCTCTTTTGATTATTATTGATAAATAACAATAAAAATTTCAATTTTTTTTTTAATTTTTTTAAATTTTATTATTATAATAAAAGATAAATATATATACACGATATATGAGAAGAGGACGAAAGACAGGTTAGGGGCGATAAAGTCATAAGATGGATGATTCTGCCTGTTCTTTTCGGACTTTTCCTATGTAATTATTTATAGCAGACTGCACTACTTAATAATTTTACATAAATCAACCCGACAATAAGGTTGTGGGAAATCATATTATAGTAAGGGGGTGTTTGACAACTCTTTTCATTTCTTTTAAGGTGTATTTGTTTTGGGATTTGATTTTAAATTCACTGTTCATCCCATTTTTTTTCTCAAAAATATCAAATTAAAAACCTATTTTTTATTTTTTATATTATATTAAAAATTAATTTTACATTCAAAATATCACATCAATACCTATTTATATCACAGCATATAACTATTCAAATTTAAAATTTTAACTATTCAAATCCCAACTCAAAATTCAAACCCCCAAACAAACGCACCCTTAACCAATTAAACTCGAGAAATAAATTTATTTTATTTCTTTCTTATAGTCAAATGAGTGGAAAAAGAATTGAATATTGTAGTATATATGTATATATAGATATATATTTTTGTACTATTAATTTTTATAATTTTTAAAAATTATATTATTTTAATTTTATAAAAATTATATTTAATTTATTATTTAAATATTTAGTTTTTATAATTTTTTCGTATAAATTGTATTAAAATATGATTTTGCAAATTATCCTATACTCCTTCCGTTCGACTCTAAGGTCTTATTTATTTTTTGCGTTGTACTTAACATTAAAAATATTTTTTATATTCAAATAATTTTTTGCACAAATGTCATTATAATAATATTATAAGACAATAACATAAGTACTTTTGTCATTTTTACTTGATTTATACTAAGTTTTTATATAATAATTAATATTCAAATATCAAAAGTAAACGAGACCTTAGAGCTGGACGAAGATAGTATAATTAATACTATTTTTTTTTATCTTATAATTATATACATTTATTGAAATAATATTGGATTTGTTTGTTTAGTTTTTTCATTTGATTATATATATATATATATATATTGGATCGGCCGGATAAATCAAAATAGATTCCCGGACTAATTATAGTAAATCTCCGGAACGAGGTCTCTATGTGGATGGTTGTATTAGATCACGCAATCAATAAAACACAAACAAACAACAAGAAGAACAAGAGAAATTGCATGAACTTATGAAATATAAAATGCAAAATTTGAACAAGAACAAGACTAACAAAATCAAGAAATTAAAGATGGATCCTCATGTGCTAGTGTCGTCGTTCCCTTCCCCACAGCCGCTTTAATACACTTTTAAATCAACTAAAAAAAACTCCCGACGCTTCCGGATTTCACCTACTATATATGATTAGCTTAGTGTGACTTGTTGGATCTAATTTGCAGCGTATTAGGTTCGGTCGGATTTACCCAGAATGTACTCGAATTCGGGTGTGTTTGTTTAGGGATTTAGATTTTGAGTTGTGATTTAAACAGTAAAAATTTTGAATTTGAATAGTTGTATGATGTGATATTTTGAATTTAAATTAATTTTTAGTATAATATAAAAAATAAAAAATAGATATTTGATTTGATGTATTTTTTTAAAAAAAATTAATAAATAGTAAAAATCTTATAAAATCCCTCGAAACAAACACACCGTTCCGACTGCAAAAAAACCACAAATTAACACAATTATTCACCAAATCGTCATTTCAATTTTCATCCCTCCATTTTTTTATTTTTTTTTTTCATTTTTGGGCCTCCATTTCACCATCGCTTACCTCACTTACTAAGCCCATTAATTCAATTCGGCCCACTGAATTCTTTCTCTCTGTTTGCCCACAAACTTTTGAATAGAATATAATATTCTTCATGTATCAAATTAACTGAGCCGTTTTTTTTTCCAATTTTAATTGACACTTTCTATATTTAATAAATATATTTATTTAAAAAATTATATTTAATAAATATAAATCAAATTTATTAATTTTATAACATATACTCCCTCTATTTCATATAAAATATTTATATTTCTATTTTCGTCTGTTCACATAATTTGTCATTTCATTGGAAATATAATTATATATTTTAAATACATAATAAAATTTATAATTTATAATCTATTTTAATTTTTAATTAAACTATTTATTTAATTATTTTAATTTTAATATATAATTATTTTAATTATATAATAATTATTTTAACTAATATACTTGTTAATTAATTATAATTTCATTTAAATTCTCGTATGTACAGTAACATTGATATATTATCTTAGACGGAGGGAGTAATATAATACATCAAGTAGACTCACTCAAAACTCTTATATTTTTTTTTTCAATAACTAAATATTTTTATTTGCATTTAAAACTCTTCATTTTTTTATAAAATCAATTTATATTAATCTTAAATAAATTAAATACTTTTTTCATCTCATAAGAAGAATAATCTTTACTTTTTGTACAAAAAAAAAAGGATAAAAATACTTTTTTTACTATTGTGTAATATAAAAATAATGATATTTGTATAATATATTATAAATAGTAAGAACATTTATTATATTAAGTAAATAGTATAATTATTAAATTAAAAAATAATACACTTGTTGGCACAGATAAAAATTAAAAATAAAAGGTGACAGATGGAGTATATATTTTTCTCTATTTATATTATATTAACTTTTATTCTCTACAAAAATAAATTCATATTATATGTATTTTATAAAGATATAATTTTTAAAATATTTAAATGTATATTTATTTTTTTAAAAATTACTTCATCCGTCCCACAGACCATGTTCACGTTGCCGTTTCTATTCGTCCTACATACCATGTCACTTTCTTTTTTTAGAAAATGATTATACACTTTAATCTCATTTTAAACTTTTTATTTTTTTTAAATTTTAATTAAACTAATTAGTTATCTTAATCTTAATTTATAATTATTTATATTATAGGATAATTATTTTCACTAATACATTATTAATTATATACTAATTATACTTATCATATATTCCCGCGTCTACAGTGACCATGACATCCATTGTGGGACGGATGTAGTAATATATATAGAAAGTAATAATTTATAATATTAATTTACTGTCTTATACTCCCTCTGTCTCTCAGGTGTCTATTTTTTCATTTCTGTTTGTCCCATATATCTCGTCACTTTTATTTTTTGGAATAAAATTATACATTTTAATTTCATTTTAAAATTGTTAATTTATAAACTTTTAATTATTTACTAATTATATTTTTTTTATAATTCTCGTATCTACAGTAAATAGAACACCTTAGTGAGAACGGATAGAGTATATCATATCATTAATCAAATTGATTGATTGAAATGGAAGTGACGAAGTAATAATAATATTCCCTCCGTCCATGACAAAGTATCCATTTTTCATTTTAGTCTGTTCCATAACAAAGTATTCATTTCCTCTTTTAGTAATTGTACTATCTACCTAATATTACAAATACCATTACAACTTACAATATATTACACAAATATCATTACTTTTATATCACACAATACTAATAAAATTATTTTAAAATCATTTTTACTTTATTCCTACTACATTCTAATATAATACTAATATTTCTAAAATCTTATGTAAAAAGTAAATAGATACATAATTACGGATGAGAGGAAATAATAATAATAATAATAATAATAATAATAATAATAAGACATACATGTAGGAAATACATAAAGAACAAAAAGAATTAACAGATACGACATAACACTTTCAACCAATTATTCGAATTTAAGAAATAATAATAATTTCCTATTTTCTCTGTGTCTGTCCACAAAATATAATATTGTATCATATAGGAGTATAACAATATATACTTCAAATACTTCTTTCGTTTCATAAGTAAGTATTTATTTGCCTTTTGTACGTAATTTTAAAAATATTAGTATTATATTGAGATGTAGTAGGAATAAAGTAAAAATAACTAAAATAACCTTATTAGTATGCGTGATATAAAAGTAATGACATTTGTGTAATATATTATAAGTTGTAAGGGTATTTGTAATGTTAGGTAGATAGTAGAGTTACTAAAAAAAAGAAATGAATACTTTGTTATGAGACATATTAAAATGAAAAAATGAATACTTTGTCAATGTGACGAAGGGAAGGGAGTATAATTAATTAGAAACGGGTCAAATACTTCACATTGGTACTATGTATGATTGTGTGTATTTACATTTTTTTAGATATTTATTTCATTTAATAACAATAAATTTTCCATATACTTCCTCCGTCCATTAAAATTAGTCCATCTGTGTTCAATACGAGAATTAAGAAAAATAGATATTTTATTGAAAAAGTGATAGATAGTTGAGGGTATTTTTGAAAATTTAGTTAAAAAGTAAAATAAATGAATAGAGATAATGTAATAAAATTAGAGGTATTTGTTGTACATAAGTGTTGAATGAAGGGTAATAATTAAAGGTTGATTTGTTGACTTTGCCAAAATTAGTAATGATATAAATTTAGTGGACGGACTAAAAAAAAGTGAAAATAAATTTGACGGACGGAGGGAGTATTTAATAATAATAATAATAAAATTTCCATATATTTAATAATTATATCTAAATATTAAAGTACTTCTAATTTTTTTAAAAATATTTATTTTGTTTTTATTTTTAAAAGCAAAAATATAAACATCAGCTTACATCTCTGCTTATTAATAAAATATTAATTTATTAAATAAATAATAAAAAATAAATTGAATTTGGACAAAAAGTAGGTGAATGAGTCTTAATAAATATCAATAATATAAATTTAATTTAAATATATTTTCAAATTTAAAAACATCAACCAAGCGTAGCTTTTAAGGAATTACTCATCAA